GGGGGAGGGAGAAAAAAGCTCGAATTTATTTCGCGTGTAGAATATCGCGACAAGTTCGAATATGTATATCTCGATTTGCTACAAATATGACAATTCGTATCACGAATAAAATTGATTGTCTGTAGTTATTTATCCGTACCTTAAACATAACACGAGGAGTAAAGACAGGATTCGACGGTCATCAATTTCGAAGGTCATCGAGATTCGCGTCCAAATTAATTCCAGCGTCGAATCCTTTTCAATTCCTCTTTTCTTCGCGACGTCAGTTTCTCGCGCGTTGCGTTTTTACATATGTTCAGGCACGCACTGAAGGAACAAACGCGTTTTAATAATCGAGCAAATGACGCGCACACGAAACGTAGACGCGGCGAGAACCAGAATAAGAAGCATGCGTGCCAACCGCTACGCGCATGCCCGTCACCCCCCGACACGTACGTACGTAATTGCCTAGATTCGGACCGCGCAAAAAAAAAAAAAAAAAAAAAGCGGAAATACATCGAGAGCCGGTGTTGCGAAAACAGCTGTTACCTGGGAAGCGGATTCCCAGGGTGAGCTCCCGTGCGCTCGCCATCAACCGAAAGGAAGGACAATGTAGCAGAGAGAGATACACATTTTACTGGGATTTAAATATAATAACCCGCGGCAAAATCGTGCGATAAATAATGCTTTCAGAAAACGATTTTGCGTGTAAATCTACTCTTCTTTTCTAGCGCTCGCAAATCTGATAAATTTAATAGAGCGAAATTTTAAATTTACTAAATTTAATAAATAGATTCTCTTTAATTCGCTCACATGTTTTCATAAAAAAATTGTCAGTAAAGAATTATCAGTTTAACAATAATCATTATTTCTCATGATTATTATTTTTATATCTGTACATATTTAAATTGAAATTAAAACGTTATACATATATCGTGTCTCTTAATATATGCACTCCATGTAATGCGATACATGTTTATATGTATATATGTAGAGTGCACGCTGCGGGGTTGAGAGAGACAGAGAGTCCGAACCCCTTATGTACGCAACTCGCAACGGCGGTATTTCCGTTCGCCAAATAACAAGTTATATACATTCGGAGCCCAATCACGCGTATTATCTAGTATTCTACGGACCGCCTCGTACTTCGACAATCGAAACATCGACAAACTCGTGTTCATACCGGGTGAATCAGACAAGATGGATGTATCCAAATTCAACTACTATTGTATCCGAGATAGAAAGCTCTTTCAATAATTTATACGTTTCGGATTGACAACAATAGTTAAGATTACAATGCAATATAAATATACAGCATTTAAAAAAGAATTTATTTTAAGATAATATTCTATTCTATCTGTACTTTAAAGAGATCGAAATTTTTTAATTGTATTTAAATTTAAAAAAGAGCGCATAATTTTCAAGTAATTCTTTACTTTTAAACGTCAAGTGTCTCCTTAT